AAATTATATTTGCCACTATTTTGGTACCATCCCTATAGTGAAGTATAGCAGTCTCTGACAACTAAATTATATTTGCCACTATTTTGGTACCATCCCTATAGTGAAGTATAACAGTCCCGACAACAAAATTATATGTGCTACTATTTTGGTACTAGTCCTATAGTGAAGTATAATTTGTGTGCAATTTTACTGTTAAAGAATTGTTGTCATCAAATCCATTTTCAAGAAACATTTAATTTGGAACACACCTTCAATTTATTTTATTTTCATGCTAAACGTTGATACTTTTACAATCCACCAATGTCCAAACAAGCTGCAAGTATTTTGGTTACTAGTGGCGGTCTTTATTGTCGCAGTAGTTATTGTCCGCTTGCTCATTAGTAGTATTCAATAAGCTTTACTGCCACCTCCTAGGTCGCTCATTATTGACACGGTACCAAAATAGTGGCAAATACCAAAATAGTTTGGCGATTTATTTTTGGCCATTAGATTCTCTGATTCATGACATTATGTGCCAATAAATCCGATGAGTCGTTTAGTTCAAAACACTGAATGATCATAGCATGGTGTGCAGAGTTTTATAGGTAAAGCAATTGTTAAGAATATATTAAAATTTGTGGAAAAGGACAAGAGTTCTTACCTTCTATTAGTACAATGTCTGTACGGCGTCCTGGGCTGACTAGCAAAATAATCTACGTCAACGAAAGATGCGTGTACGTGTACTGTAGACATTTTCCATGACGCTGCATTGCATGCGTAGAGTCGACGTCACGATTTTTGCGTATGAATTTTTCTCCGCTTTTTTTCAACAAATAATTCACTTTTTTCTCCTGGGAAAACGTCGTCAATCTTATTTTATTAACCTGAACTTTGTCTTGACAGCGCAAATTATACCAAAATAAGCGTCTTTGGTTGATTTCTGGCACTCAAAATTGATTCTCGTCTCAGTCCTAATTACGCGTTTAGGAATGACCTGGTGATCCAAAATTGACTTCGCATGAAAATACTGCCGCCTACGGCGGATCCCGGGATCACTGCGTCTAGACGGATTATTCGGTGGAGATTTCAATATTCTGTTGATATCTACTTTCCAAAGATTGATACATGCTTCTTACCCGCGCCGGCCGGTTACACCTGCAGTGACGAATGTTGAGGTCTTCAGCTACTTAAATATCGTATTGTCATACTTTCCTTCGAAACACATATGTTTGTGCACGTTCCGGCGAAAAGTTTAGTTTTAGATT